CAACTTCTGTCTTCCCACATTTTATGTTTCTCTTCACATATGCTTTTTTGTTTGTTTGTTTGTTTGAATTGAGATGTTGGGGCACCTGGGTAGCTCAGTCAGCTAAGCGTCTGACTCTTGATTTTGGCTCAGATCATAATCCCATGGTTGTGGGATCAGGCCCCAGCATGGAGCCTGCTTAAGATTCTCTCTTCCTCTCCCTCTTCCCCTCCCCTGCTCTCTCTCTCAAAAATATAAAATAAAAATTGAGATATAATACACATACCATAAAACTCACTTTTAAAGTGTGCAGTTCAGTAGTTTTTAGTATATTCACAGGTGTACAGCTATCACTACTATCTAATTCCATAACATTTTCATCACCCGCAAAGAAACTCTATATCCATTAGTAATCAACTCCCTGTTCCCCTCTCCTCTCAGCCTTTGGCAACCACTAATGGACTTTCTGTCCCCAGGAATTGGCTTATTCTGGATGTTTCATATAGAAGGAATCATATAACATGCAGCCTCTTGTGTCTGGCTACTTTCACTTAAAGAATGTTTGCAAGGTTCATCCATGTTGTAGTATATATATCAGTATTTCATTATTTTGTATGGCTGAATAATATTCCCTTGTATGGATATACCACATTTTTAAAATAATATTTTGTTATCAGTTGATACAGTTGGGCTGTTTCTACTTTTGGTTATTATAAATAATGCCATGAACATGTGTGTATAAGTTTTTGTGTGTACATATGTTCTCTGTTCTCTTGGGTATATACCTAAGAGTAGTCCTTTAGTAATTCCATGTTTAACTTTTTGAAGAACTGCCAATTTTTCTTCCAGTGGCTGCACCATTTTCATTCTTCCCAGCAATGGTTAAAGGTTCCAATTTCTCCACATCCTTGTCAACACTATTATCCATCATTTTGATTATAGCCATCCTCCTGGGAATGAAATGGTTTCTCACTGTGATTTTCATTTGCATTTCCTTAATGACTAATGACTTTGACCATCTTTTTATGTTCTTATTGGCCATTTATATATTTTCTTTGGATAAATGTCTGTTCAATTCCTTTGCCCATTTTTAACTTGCATTATGTATCTTTTTATTGCTGAGTTTTTAAAATATATCCTACATAAACATCTTTATTAGATATATGACTTACAAATATTTTCTCCCATTCTGTGGTTTGTCTTTCAATTTCCTATAGTATCTTTTGAAGCACAGAAGTTTTCAGTTTTGATGAAGTCTAATTTATCCATTTTTTTTTCTTTAGTCCCACAGACTCTTGTATACAGTGCCTAGATCCATTCTGACAATAAAAGGAGGCTGATAGCAGATGGGGACATATGAGAAAATGACAACTTTACAGTTCACACTACTAATAAAATTATTTAGAAAATTGCCTTTCACTAGACAGTGTAATTTCTGTTGGTGGATACAAGCCAAATATGAATCATACACAAATCATCATCTTCTATTCCATTCAGCTGGATGGATTTAAGAAACAGAGTAATAGAGAATATCATTCTAGAGGAAACCAGTTAGTATTTGTGCTATGTAAAATATGATTTCTAAATTGCTTAAGCATATCTATCAAAATCCAAATGGAACATTTAAAATCAGCATCATATAAAAGCAATCCTCTGTGAAATGATTTCTAAACTATGAACATTTATCTTTCAGACCTAGCATCTCAAAGCATAAACACTGGATAGACCGCTATGTTGGAACAGTCACCCCATTTCCCCAGAAATTTGTATTTGATTCATGAGTACATTCCAAGGAACATAGGATCCAGGTTTGTCTTTTGGAGTCTGGAATAAAAGAACAAATGTGGACATTTGTAACTTGGAAAATGTTTGTGCCAGGTGAGAAATAGCATAATGTAAAACAGGATAAAAACCACCCAAAGGGTGATCAGGACAATGAGAGGTCTCAGAATGACAGAATGAAAAATGTGGAAGAATCTAGGACAGGACTAAGAATCAGGGTAGGGCAGCTACAAGAATCATCACCTCACACTTGAATAGGGGCAAATGAACATTGCAATTAGTCTCTGTGTTCCTCCGTAGTGAAGAAGTGATTCACGGGGCTTAGGAAAAGCTATAAGGGGTGCCATGCAGAGCAAGTATTGAGAGGAGGTGAAGGAGGGGGCTCTCCCCTCAATATAAGGAACACCTTGTGTATAGTCAGAAGGGTCACTGTGAATGGCATGACTTTCCCCTATAATTAAATCTCATCACTGAAAGTGACCAAGGAGAACTGAGATGTTTACTCTGTGGGGGTGTTGATGCATGTGGGATTCTGCTCTTGGGGTTGGGCCAGAAAGGGCCCTTCCCACTCTACAGTTCAAACCAGGAAATACACATACAATCAAGTGCCTGATTGGGTAGAGTGAGACCGACTGTTGGGGTGGCCCATATTTTTGGCCTGGGTATCTTAGGTTCAGGGCACAGTTCCTGAACTCCCATTCCTGACCAACATGTCCTGGGAAGGGAATAAAACCAAGGAGGAACATGTAACTGATGAATGATCAATGAACCTTCATTTTCATTATAGAACTAAGCCCTGCTGTGAGCTGGGTAAGACCAGACTGACAAAAAATTGCAATCTAAGGGCACGTCTGCTCTTCCTATGCTCAAATGCCCTCAGGATTCCTGTCACCTTTTCTCCCATGGAAAACCGCCATGGTGGGGTAATAAAACTTGACCATAAGGACGGGGGCAAAAATTCATAATTTTATGAACAGAACATAACATACCATTTTTGTGAATTTATCTTCACAGACTATTCTAATCTTCTCCGGGGTCAGTGGACTACTGAGCTTCAATGGTCCAAACAGGCCCCTCTCTTGTCCTGCTGCATTGTGACATGAATGGCAAAAAATACTGATCATTCCAGGAATATCCCAGACTCTACTAGACCCTTGAAAGGAAACAAGTCAACTAGAGTAGGGCTCTCTCTCTCTCTCTGCATCTATATGTACATATACATATATGTGCATCTATAGGCAAATATGGTATAGATGCACATATAAAATATTAAAATATATGTAACATTTTCCTTTAAAAAAGTAATTTAATATTTTAGTCTAGTATTCTCATTCTTCGGATTCCATCCTAAGGAAATAATCCCAAATGGAGAAAGCATATATAGATATAAGATGATTACTGCAAAATGAAAAATCAGATATAACCTGATGGTAATAGTTCATGTTAAGCTCCAAGATTTGAAGTATTTAAAAAAACTATAAAATTGTTAAATTAATTTATAATTAAAATGTTTAATAGAGCTTTTTCTTCTATAAGCCTGGTAGAAACCCCAAACAACCAAGAAATGAAGGAACCTCTGCTAGTTCCCTGCACAGTTACTACAAATCACATAAACATGCATGTATTTATCAAGCACAGCTTACCTTCAACAACTACAGGGTATTTGAGCTTTGAGATGGAAGCAATAAAGAAACGTGCAACTCTGTAGGGATGCCACAGATGGCAGGGATTTTATATTGGTTTGGACCGTGAGTGTATAGGACACCCTAAGGAGAATAATTCAGCTCCTCTATTGTATAAAGTCCCATGCCTTGAATAAATGCACCTTCAATCTGGGGAGGGAGGAAGAATTTCCATATATGAGAAAATACAATCAACAGTAGCATTTCAACTTCATGCTGTTTATTTGAATTGTTAAAATACAGTATAAGAGGGTTTTCAGCATGTCATGGAAGATGTCTCTGAGAGTTTACTTAAAAGTTTGCCTCAAAGCATTTCTACAACATCTTAATCAGCGCTAAATTCAAAGTCAAAAACTTGAGTGTAAATCTCAATTTGGCAGTAAAAGTATAGCTTTAGAAGAGGCGTCAAAGAGCCTATGGCCCAAAAGCCCTCCTTTTTTCTGTCCATGAGCCAGAAGGAACCCTCTGACCTATCCACAGACTCCAGCACACTGAAAAGTGCTCTCAGGGTCTGAGAATTCCCTCATTGCATCTCATCTCCCCATTCTTACTCATATTGGGCTTGGCTTCACATTTCTGCACTCTTGTTTCCTGGCCTGTGACATGAACTCTGTTGTGTGCTAAGCTTCCTACACAGCTTTAAAATGCTCCAATTCTTAGATGTCAGCCTGTGGGAAAAATTGCTTTCCACACATCTTTCTGATTTCTGGGTCTCCTCTTTGTTTACCTCCTTGCTGTGGTCATACTTTCTCTGTCCCACTCTCTACCCTCACATGTATCTATCTGCAGGGAGATTCTTCTCTAACATGATGTTAGATGAAATCTTCCTAAAACTCTATTATCATACCCCAGGCCACATCACCTCCACCTATGAAGGCAGGTGCCTATCTTTGGGGCCTCACATTCCGCTCCTCTGACACAGGTACTCTCCACTGTCATCAGCACACCCCCTTCCCTGCCCTGCCACCAGCCAGCCATGAACACAAACTATGCTGAATTTCATGTCTTTCTTTAGGGAGATGTCTTCCATTCTCCTCTTGTTCATTCCTTGACTACTTCATCCACATGCACTGCCTCCCAGAAGCCCGCTTTGACTTCTCCAACCCATATATTCTTCCCATTCTCCAATGACACATGTCATGATTGGAGAGTACCTCAAATTATGTTCTGAACTAGAGGTAGTAATGAGCTGAACTGCCCACCGGTAAAGAAAGTGAGTGAAGCTTCCAGTTCAGTCCTGAGTCCTAGAATCACAGAGTGCATGATTCTCTAAAAAGGCAGCCAACTGCTTTTCCTTAGGCACATGCAGCTCCAGTGCTGGTAAATTTTCTGTTTCCAAGAGATGCTAGACATTTGAATAATTATGTAAGGATGATGGTGAATTTTTAATCTTGTCAATTATTTCAAATTTGAATAAAAAATGTCTGTGGGCAAAACAGGCTACCTATTAATAACAACTGCTGTAACTATTTGATGATTTGATGTGCTCCCTACCCAACTTTAAACTCCTCAAAGCTACAGCCCATCATATGCCCAAGACTTCACACTTAGCATACAGTCTACTTCTGATCTCACTGGCATCGGGCCCATATTGTCACCTCTAGGCTCGCTTCTGCCTCACTCAAGATCCTCAATCACAGACCGTATGTCTCTTCAAACACTAATTCAAAACATCCTTTTTTCCTTCTCTTTTTTAAACAATAAGAGATCTGAGTTCTGTGGCTGGGCTGGATAGACAGATTCTGACTTCAGGGGCAGAAAAATAAGATGATGAATAAGCTGGATGGAATGTTTTCTCTATAGACATCCAGAGCAGTTATGGCTTTTACAAAAGGGATTGAGGCAAAGCAGGTACACATACCTGGCCTCTGTCAAGGGCTGGATTTATACTGAAGCCAACATCCATGCCAATGTCTGTTTAGATGTTCTAGTAATAAAAAAGAGAAAAAATGTTTATCTTAATGAATACAACTTAAGGAGACAGGCTGAGAACACTTCATGCCAGGACACCACTGGTACAGAACCTTTCTTTGGGCCACATATTTCAGGAGAAAGAATCAACAAAGATTTTATTGTGTAACAGTTTATTATGTATAAATTTCAAAGTTATACACATACTCAACCGGCTTAAGCACTGATTTTTTTCCCTCAGAAGCAATAGGAGATGGGGCGTCTGGGTGGCTCAGTGAGTTAAGCGTCTGACTTCGGCTCAGGTCATGATCTCACAGCTTGTGAGTTCGAGCCTCACATCAGGTTTGCACATGTGAGTGTGCTCTCTCTCTCTAAAATCTTTAAAGAAAAGAAACAATAGGAGAGAAAAATATTTGACTTTCTTCGGGCTGAGTGATGTAACTTATGGAGTTTAATCCACTACAACAGACATTAATCTATGACACAAAATGTTTATGGCCCTCATGATCCTTGTTGAAAAACTCTGTGGCTACCATACAACCCAACATCCGGAGTCCAGCTGGCTGGGTAACATCTACTGAAGCACAGAACTCAGGGAGCATCAGCCAAAAAGTCTTCAATTATTGTATTGTGGAGTTTTCAATTTTAGACCAAAGGAAAGATAAATCTAACACTACAACTTGGTCACCAAGAGTTCCTGGTAAGTTACAAATAAGGAATACAGCAGGCCTAGCTAGGTTACTGGTAACACCTTTGCTCTCTAGCAAGTCTGGACCTTCTTTCAGTGACATACTGGCTTCTGCCATGACAAACAGATTCTACTTATAATTATTAATGGAACAAAGGAAATCCCAAGAGTTTTTCTTTTTTTAAAAAAACGTTTATTTATTTATTTTGAGAGAGAGAGAGAGAGAGAGAGAGAGAGAGAGAGAGAGAGAGAGATTTACAGTGCAAGCAGGGGAGGGGCAGAGAGAGAGAAAGAGAGAGAGAATCCCAAGCAGGCTTCATACTGTCAGAGCAGAGCCCCACACAGGGCTCGAACTCCCAGTGAGATCATGACCTGAGGCAAAATCAAGAGTTAGCCGCTTCACCGACTGAACCACCCAGGTGCCCCAATCCAAGAGTTTTCTTGTTTGATTTTGGGACTTTCATCTAACATTTTTCTTAAGAAAAGTAGAGAGTGATCCAGAAAATTTTACTATAATAAAACACTTCTGTTATTTAAGGATACCATGAAATGTAAAGTTATTTACAAATATAAAGTTATTTACTTTACAAAGTTATTTGGTATAATAAAATACTTCCCTTATTTAACGACACCATTTAGCAAGGCTGGCCTTCCAGCAGACTAGTGGCCTCAATTATTGGTGAGAGCAGATGCTCTTAAGTCTGCAGTGCTGGCAAGGGTTCTGTTTTCAAAGCCATGGACTTACTGTTTGTCATTGTCTTTTGTTAGGGCAGAAGGAGAGTGGTTCTAGGTTGTGGTAGCCAGCCTTCAAGATGGCCTGCAATGATCCCCATGTGCTGCATTCAAATCTTTATGTATTCCCCTGCCTCACTCTACACCAGGGTTAATTTGTCTTGCAGAAGTGCTAGTACATCACCCTGGTGTTAGGTTATAAAAGATGATGGCTTTTGTCATGGATGTTCTCTCACTTGCTCATAGTCTCTTTTTTCCTTTGCACCAGTCCCTATGGGGGTGGGAGGCAGCATGCATGTCCTATGGACACTGAGATGTCCTATAGAGAGGTCCATGTAGTAAGGAATGGAAACTTCTGGGCAACAGCCAGTGAGAAACGGAGGCCTCCTGCCAACAAGCATGTGATGGAGCTTGGAATCAGATTTCCAGCCACCACTGCAGCTTTGGGATAAATGCAGACTTACCTGACAGCTTGATGGCAACCTCGTGAAAAATCCCGAGCCCGAATCATCCAGATAAGCCACTCCCAGGTTTCTGGCCCTCAAAAATTCTGTCAGTTAATAAATATTTGTTATTTTCAGCTGCCAAATTTGAGAGTAATTTGTTACATAGCAATAGATAACTAATATATAAATGTAGGTTTAAAGTGAGGGAAATTTTATAGAATAGGAACAATTCTAACAACATAAGAATGACTGAGAAACAGGCCTCCAGGGAGGGCCCCTAGTGGGATGTTACATTACAGCCCTTTGCCAGGGGTGTACCTAACCTGAGTTACAGACCTAGCTTCTTTGAATGCATCTGATAAAAAGACTATTTAGTACACCTCTTAAGATTATTCAAATAAGTTATAAGAACACACCTCAAAATTTCACAACAAGGCGATTACCTTTCTTAGACCTTAGCAAGGCCAAGGCATATACAAGATAAAGAAAACCCAAGTGATTTAAGTTTTCCCTAAATTTTTCTTTGAGGGAGAAGGGATGTAGAAATCAGTTAGTATGAGATAACTTTCTATGGAACTAAAACAGGACAGCTACTCTCTAGCATGAAAACCATGCTTAGTATGATCACTGTTTTTTCCTAGTCCAAGGTTCCCCAAAAGTGAGCTGGTCTGAGTTAGAATCCACACAAACCAGATAGTTTACTGGGCAGGTTCAAAGGTATATACAATTTCAAAGATTAGGCTGACTATAGTTTAAAAAACATACATGCTGGAGACCTGTTAAATGAAAACTTAAATCTGATCATAATCTAAGATATAGTGACAAAGTATGTTTGGAAATATCAAGACGTAGAGTCTCCTTCTGGGTAGGTTTTGGGACAGATTATCACAAGACAGTTGTGAGGGTATCACAGCCCCATTTAATGTATTAATAATCATTTATTATTACTGACAGTGGCCAGTAAGTAACTTCATTTACCCACAGGGGCCCAGCTACAAGAGGAGAAACTCTCCTTGAAACAGAAGTGTGTGTGTGTGTGTGTGTGTGTGTGTGTGTGTGTGTGTGTGTGTGAGAGAGAGAGAGAGAGAGAGAGAGAGAGAGAGAGGGAGAGCGAGCGCACGCACCTGTGTGGGAATCTCTTCACAGCATCCCTTAAAATCATAAGATGCCCTTAAACTATCTAAAAAGCAGGACCTAGCTAGATAAAAGATATCAAAAGCTTGCCACTAACTTCCCTGGGCTGGCCCTTGGTGCTTGTTAGATTATGGATGCTTATTAAATCCTTCAAAAATGTCATATGATGGCATTTCACATAGGAGGTCAGGATTGCTGGTTATACCAACAGTCTACATGAAAGCTCTCTTCAAGCTGTGTTTCTTCCTTGAAGTGGTTTCTTTCCCAATTCCATTTAAAAAGACCAGAAAAATAAGAGAAGTTGCCAGCTGTTTTCCATGGAAGCAACCACAACACCAAGGCAACTGCTGAGCTTCTATTTTTTTCTGGTAATTCAGAGAAATTATCCTTAGCCAAATACATGGTGCTTCCACAGTGCTCAGACAGATGGAATATATGGAATTTAGATCTATCAAAGGTACAACCTGAAGACTTTCCCAGTTGGTATTGACCCTATGAACACCTGTCAGGCAGTCTATTTCAACCTCGGAACAGGAAGCTCCATAAACAAAATATTTTAAAGGATGGCTTTTGCCTGTCTCCCAGTTCATGTCTGACTCAACCCCTGGAGGAAACAGAATTCTTGAGGAGAGCTGTTAAGTGATTAGGTCCTCTAATTGCATGGCCCGATGATTTAAACAGACCAGTAAGAAGCTGTGTTCAATTTGCATGTACAGCAAACTAAAAGAATACACTTGTACAATGATGTGCCAGCATGTAACACATGCAATAAATCTGTTGAATAAATGTATACTTCTTATTACACTTGCTTTGGCTGATAAAACATCCAATTGCTCTTCGTCAATGAATGACTCCTTATGCCTGGAAGTTAGATGCTGACTATATGATTATCCAGCCTATTGCTTTTAGTTAATCTTGAATCATGTCATCCCACTGTCATCAGATTTGGGGAATTACAGCTGCATTTTAGACCAAATGCTATTTCAAAGGTGCACGTTTGTCTGTCTGTCTGCCTTTTTGGCTCCAGGATTCAGCCTTCTGTTTGCAAGACCAGGCCCTTGGCTCTCATTCTATGCTACTTCTCTAGTCCCCATGGCCTGCTCTGTTCCTGACTCTTTCTTGAGACACCAAATGGGTGTCATGGTAAAAGAGACGCACAGGCGAGCAGCTTGCCAGGAAATTCTACCCTGCTCTCCTCTGTTTGCCCTGGTCTGGAGGTGGCCATTAAAAACGCTTCTAACACTTATTCCTGATAGCCAGCCAGTGCCCCAGGACTCCCACGAGAACAAAATGACAAAATCACATAAGACTCTACATCACTCTGTTCTCTTATGGCTTTCATTTTCCATTAAAATAATTTGATAATTATTTTCTAAAGTATGTGAGAAACAATTTTTCCACAGGTTGACAACACATGGTTATTGTCACATTTCTTATTTCTTGCCAATCTAGAAGGTGTGAAATGATGTTCGTCTTATTATGGGTTTATTCTGCAATCTCCCTACCTTTGTTTCTTAAGGATACACTAAGTTTTCAACAGAAAAATCAATCACTGCTGTGGGTTCCAAGCACCAACCTCATAGAACCCTCTAGTACTAATCAGTATGATTCAAATCATCAGTTCAGCCATATTTTATTTGTGTTCCTATTTTTCCCAACAGAAGACTTTCTGCACACTTGGATTAACTAGAAGCTAAATGTTGTTTATAACAGTGGGTTAATAGAAGGTACAAAATCAATTTTTTCCAAAATTTCAAACAGAAGTGAAACTCTTCCTCAAGCTACAACTGCTATTTTTCATGGCATGGGATTGAAAGAACTATTTACCTGAAGTATTCAGCAACTGCAAGACTACCGCTTTCATCAAAAGCAACTCGTGCCTGTGAAAAAGAGCAAACATGATGTGATAGTGATGTTTAAAGAAAGAATCATTTGAGACTTTAATTCTGATTTCACTAGATGATAAAGAAAGCTATCAGTAGTAATAACCAGGAAGAGCCAAGATTAATGTAATCCTTCCCACAGCACTTGTGGGAACTTCCAACTTCCCAACTTCCCAAGCACTTGTGGTCATCTTGTACTAACAGCATTTGTTCAGTGCCTGTGACCGTCTCCCGTGACTGACAACTTAGTTACACCTGTGGTCTGCGCTATAACGGGCAATGTACGTTCTGCTGCTGAAGAACTTCATTCAGTCTTCTGGAAAGACAGCCTATCAACAGCGAGTATTTCAGGAGACAATGGATGGTGGGTTGTTTAATTTTAGTATCAGGTACCTATCAGTCTTGGGAGAGTGGCGCAATTTTGGTAAATTATACCATTTACATCAAAAGTTCTCCTGACTCTGCAGTGCACATTGTTGACTTACAGAAAAATGAGGGTTAAGGCCAAGTCCCCAAGTCTAAGAAAGAAAAAGGTGAGAGGTGCAACCATTACAGAAGAAAGTATGCTGAATGGCAGCAATTCATGAGGGTGGAAGGTTGACTGCCTGGCACTGTACCTCTCTCTTCAGTCAGGCTCTCTCAGTCTTTCTTTGGCTCAGGAAGCACAGGGCAGAGGGGAGAAATAAATATGCCCCAAAAGGATTGAGAGCTCCCATAAATATGAATTATAGAAGGAGTCCTAGTTTTGTAGAATAGCAGGAACCATTTTTTTTAATGTTTATTTATTTTTGAGACAGAGAGAGATAGAGCATGAATGGGGGAGGGTCAGAGAGGGAGGGAGACACAGAATGTGAAGCAGGCTCCAGGCTCCGAGCTGTCAGCACAGAGCCCGATGAGGGGCTCGAACTCATAGAGTGTGAGACAATGACCTGAGCCAAAGTCAGAAGCTCAACTGACTGAGCCACCCAGGCGCCCAGGAACCATTTCTAAGGAGGACTCCTCAAACATTATTTCCCTGAGACCAATGTTTTAATGTGACATTCTAGAACAGTCAGCATGACACATACTCAGCTTTTATTGACATCCATTCCACACCATCTGGTACTTTATAACCTATTACTTTGAAAGTTTGCTAGTTGACTTTAGAATGTGTGTTTTCTCTTCCAACTAGGTTGTAAGTACATCGAAGGAAGCAGCTGAAATTTCCACTGCATTTAGTGCCTACTATTGGTTGAAGACATAGCCAGCAGGTTGGTTTCCTATTTTCCTATGAGTGCTTATATGATTTTCACTTTTATGAAAGGACTGTAGTGTTGTCTTCCCATTTAGGAACAGTGGAACCCAAAGAAGGAGAACAAATAGATTTACAGGTATTATCTGGAAGATACCTACATTCTATAGGAAGAAACATTAATTAGTTCTGGCTTAAAAAGAAGAGTTTTGGGCAGAAAAACCACCTTTTTCTCTAATGGAGAATTTTCCCAGATGCAAGAGCTCCTCTACCATATGAAGATAAAAATTTCCACATGCAGAGAGCCAAAAGGCCTCCATTTATCACTGTGTAACTGCAGTACCTTTGATAGTGCCATTTCTACTGATATTCAGTTCACTCATTCCTCCTCCCTCCTTCTTTTTTCTATCATAAAACACAAAGTAACAGTGATTCTCACCCAATCTTTCTGAGTGCCTTGATGGTTCTTGCTGATGACTGGTTCAAGGCATTTTAGAAGAGTCTGACAAGCATGCTAGGGATTATTTTTTATTAAGTTATCATAATTTCCAGCAAACACTGATTTCAAAACCACAAATATGTGCCAGAGGCTTAAGAGGCCCATGGGACACAGAGAAGGCAGAGACCAGCCCTGTAAGAGGTGATGCGCAAGGTTTCCCAGGGGTGGGGGTGAAGTGTGAGTTGGTCTTAAAGACAGACCATCTAGGGTGGAGGCCTTATAATTCATGCTAAGAGGTCAGGGATTAACAGAAAAACTGTTGGCAAACTCTAAGCATTGTTTTTAAATATGGCATGGCCAGATTTATTTTGTGGGAAAGCTCTGTCAACATGAAGCCAGAGTGAAAGGCACTGAAACTCAGGTGGAGGGACAGAGCCTTGCAGTGGCCCTGAAAAGAGGTGCAAGTCTGAATCGGAGTAGCGATATTCCCAGAACATGGAGGTTGAAAGACAGAGATATTTTTGAGTAAAATGGAATCCCACTGACCAGTGGGATGTCAGGAGTGAGGGATAAAAGGAGATGGATTTCCAGGCCAGGAGAGCAGCTGAGTATTGTACCATGTACTGAGCCCGACACTGGGGAAAGCACAGTTTTTACTAGGAGGCCGTGGGAAGGAGATAAAGATTGGATTAATTCTCCACAACTCTGGAGCTCCACCCATGTATCTGGCCTGGTGGGGTTAATGATTTGGACACCACTGCAATGATTTTTACCTTTACTGCCAACCCGCTGAGACCCGCCACCACAGAACCCCAGAGACATTTGTATTAGGGACAGTTTCTGTGCTTGGTCCATGCAGGTGGTTGTTAGACACTGGCATCCTTAATTTATAACTAGCCACCTGTTTCTTTTCAAATACTTTGGTCATAGACCTGTGCACACACCCACACAGCAGCCTCTGTGTGAAGCCCCACACGTGCAACGGCGACAGGCGGGCAGAACCATGAATTCTGCCAGCCACAAAAAGTTCTTTTCTAAAATCCCTGTAGAGCTAGTCTGGACTCTAAAGTCTGAGCACACGTTCTTTTTTTCTTCAGCTTTCTTCTATGCAGTAGCATCAGGAAGAGGAGGCAAAGCCCAAAGCCAACATGGGAGGAAAATGCTTCGTATCTTCATAATCATGAAATCAATACCTCTGCAGCCTTTCCTACCACCTCACTCTGCAAAATTCCAGCAAAAGCTCTATAACCAGAAAAATGCAAATTAAGGCAATAATGAGATACTATCATTCACCTATTAAATTACTTAAGGTTTTTAAAAAATCCATAAGATATAAAGTTGGTTAGTGGTATAATGAAATGGATACTTTCTAGAAAACAATTTAGTAATGAGTATCAGTGATTTAAGATATACTCTGTGACCCAGTAATTCCATTTCTGGAAATCTATTTTAAGAAAATAATCATTGATTTGACCACAGGCTTATGTACAAAAATATTCATTATAGTATTCAACAATGGGGATGGTTAAATAAATTATACATATATCCACATGCAGACATTAAAAATCAGGATTTCAAAGAATTCTTAACCACAGGAAGAAGTGCTCATTCTATATAAGATAGGTGAAAAAAAAACCCAGTAGTGAGCATAGGGAAAAAAAGAGAGAGAGAAAAGCAAATCAAGAAACAAGCTCTTAACTATAGAAAGCAAAATTAATGGTTACCAGAGGGGAGGTAGGTGGGGGGATGGGTGAAATAGATGATGGGGATTATGGAGTGCACTTCTGATGAGCACAGAGTGCTCTATGGAAGTGCTGAATCATGATATTGTACACCTGAAACTAATAGAACACTGCATGTTAACTAACTGGAATTTAAATAAAAATAAAACAAAAAACATAAAACAAAAAAACCCACCTAAAAACCAGGATACAAAATTATACAAACAGCATGTTAGACATTTTTGAAAAAGAAAAAAGAAAAGATGGAAGAACCTCAAAACAGTGCTTATTGCTAAATGGTGAAATTGTTCAGTCTTTAAAAATTTTTTTTGCCTCTTCCAAATGTTTTATAACCTTTAACATTACTATTGTTTGCAAAATAGAAACGATAGCTAAAAATTAATCTAAAGTAAATGAGCCAAAAGAAAATGGGTAAAGTCTGATTAGAAATATCAGATGTGATTTATATTATCAATTGTTCAAAGTCCTCACTATAAGGGATCTGGGTAGCTCAGTCAGTTAAGCATCCGACTTCAGCTCAGGTCATGATCTCACAGTTCATGAGTTTGAGCCCCATGTCAGGCTCTGTACTGACAGCTCAGAGCCTAAAGCCTGCTTCAGATTCTGTGTCTCCCTCTCTCTCTCTGCCCTCCCCTGCTTGCATTACGTCTCTCTCAAAACTAAATAAATATTTTAAAAAATTCAAAGTCCTTACTATAAAAAGGCAAGAAATAATGCAATATATGAGAATTTACACATCTTTTTATTGCCCAGCAAAAGTTGAAGAAAGACAACTCACTTGTTAATACTGGTATCCCCCACTTTGTGAAAGTTTGCATAATGCCACTTGGCTTTTATGAAACACCTACAATTTGTACCTGTTTTCACTAACTGAAATAAATCTGAAGACGATTTTCACTTTTGCGAAAAAAGGTAAAGAGCAAAAATAGCGCTCAGTGTTTGTTTTGCAGCAAGCCGTGGCAGAGGCAGAATGCACCCCAAGCAGTGACAGTGGCACCCCAAGCTCCTTCCCCAGGACTACAGTCAGCATCACAGCATCAAACTGTCAGAGCTCTGAACTGTATTGGTCCAGCCTCTGTGCTTTATCTCCATTTGTTTTGTGCATCTGCCAGCAAATTAGAAAATACTAACACAGAAGTTATTTTTTGGGGTTTGGAAGGGCTCAAAATATTTTCATGTATCCAACTTAATCCAACTAGTTGCATACTCACCTGAATCATTTTAGTGTGGACCCCCTGACCCATTTTGATTCCACTATGAGTCATCAGCACAGACCCATCCAGGTAAATGGGAACCAGGACAGCAGCCTAACCAAAAGAGATGAAAATGGTTTCCATGTTGTTTTTGAGTGACGTTGTCATATTTCCTGTCAATTAAAACATTTTCCCTGGATAATGTATTGAATTGTTGTATCACTACACTGTACTACTACAACTAATAAAACACTGTATGTTAACTATACTGGAATTAAAATTAAAAACATGTAACAAACTGTTCGAAGCCCGAAGACATACAGAACAGGCCATGGGCAGAATGTGACCCACTCTGTAGTTTGCCAACCTTTACTTTAATAGTTTAATGTTAAATGATAACCAAATATTAGCATAGAAATTGTCCTCAAAAACCAAGTGTGTGCTTCACTGTCAGTCTATTCTAGAAGGTATTAAAATGTACCAAATGAAAATAAATACATAAATAAAACAAAACATTTTCCCTGGAAATGATCCCCTCCTTTCCATATCCTGCCAAAATATGCACACTTTCCCCCTGCCCTGAGAGCACTAAGTAGAGCCAGGGCAATGCTGTGGCAAGTGCTCTCTCATGATCACTCCACAAGAGGGCAGACTGTCACGGCTTTGAGGCCGGGGGAGGACTGTATTCCTTAAGCTACTATTTCTTCATGAGGACATTTGAGCATATTGGTACCTTTAAGGATCTCCCTAATTCAGAGTGGAACAACAATCTAGGTTTGGGGGTTTTTGTGGGGAGGGAGGTAGTTTTAAAATGCCAAGTTCTGTGTAGATAGGTTGAGGCAGGGGAGAATTGTTTATATGAACATATGTTCCCATAGTTGTAGGTATGATATAGAGAAGCAAAACCCAAAATCCAAATAAGATAGGATAGACAGACGTAGTTTGCCACAAAATGAGCTAAGCTCACTCCAAATTATTCTGGCGCAGAATTATAGAGCTTTAGTTGGAAGAGAACTTGGAAGTAATCTTATCTAAGTGTACAGTTTCCCACAAGGATCCAGAAAGAAGCAAACTGCTAACACAGAATTAAAGGCTGCTGTAATCAGAAACATCCAGACTCCAGCTAAACATGTTTTATAATCAACAAGAATGTGCCTTACAATTTTGTTCATGCTAAAATAAGGGGTATAAAGATATCCCAGGAGGCTGCAGAAAACAAGGCTGGTCTTTTTACTTTGAGTTTCTAGTATAAGAGCAGTATTAACACACACAGTCCTAGAGGAAATGCTTCCAGTGGTTCCATTGTAGTTTAAGAAGCCCTGCAAGACATCTTTGTAGCTGCTCAACTGGGAGATGCCAGCCTCACAGGCGTGGTCTGGGCCAGCAAGGGGTGACTATAAAGCTCTGTCAGCTAGGTTTCTTAATATCTAAGCTTCTAGGCAGAGTGGCATAATAATCTAGGATTTATAAAGGCATGATCTTCAGGAAATTCTGGTAACAAGTTAATTTGTATACAATGAAGATAAAATTTTAATAAACCTTCACTACTCAGATTACTTATAAACAACCCTGGTCATAAGTGAAAGTCAATGGAATCACATGTCAATCACCAGATAAACTCAAGGAATGAACTACAGATGGATGCTCTGACCACCAGAAAGACCTTCATTGCCACTGGTGGGCCATGAGCCACACTTGGAGTACTGCCTCTTTATTGATATCCAAAGATTTACATTATTCCAGTGAATGACTAACAGAAGGTTCTATCATTCTAAATAAGATACTGACAGTGAAAATGGGCTCTACTTACCTGGGTCAGCAGGTGTAAACTAGGAATGTTTTGGTCAAATAGGGACATAGGGATACCCTTTCTCAGCCCAAGGGAGAATCAGAACCTTGAGGAAAGCATTGTTGCCATGATAATCATGCCCAAGAGCCACTGTTTGTTCACACATCACTCCTGGAAATACCATCTTGTCATTCTGGCCATTTGTTCTCAAAATAATAAAGCTAAGGAGTGGCATCCCCTGCAGAGAGCCTAGTGCTGGCTGCCCTGGTTGCTCATCAGATGCCAGGTGATGGCAGCTGTAAGGGCTGCTCCTGGCCTGAACTCTATGACACTTCAGTGTCGTCTGCTAGAACATGAGCCCCCTGAAAGGAAGGACCATGTCCTAAGGCATCCCTTGGGATGTAACATAGTATCTCACACATTGTAAGTGCCCAATATAAGTTTGATAAATGAATTTATAACAGCATAGTGATTTGATCTGTTTCTGAAGCTTTTAAAGTCTGTATTTGGCCTCCTTGGCTCTGCAAGCAATTCAGAAGTTGCTTATGGCAATTTGTACTTGGCACATGTGATTGAGCTACAATTACAGTGGATTGTGCATTTCCTCCATTGTGTGACCCTACTGGCAACAGTACCCTGCCTGCGTGTCCAGGGAAGCATTTCTTTCAGAGACTGCTGAGTAATTTGTTCCATGTGCTGCTGCAATCCCCTTGGGTCATTTAAAATGTCAAATTTGGTTCAGTTAAGTGGCACCACCGGATGGTTCATTGTTATCGCCACAAAGGAAAATTCTGCAAAGCTTCATCTATGAAATCGGCACAACTGGAGCATTAGAACAGATGGTTCTCCAATATAAATTGGGGGCTGAGTCTGTGAAATTTAAATCATCAAGCAATGACTGCTGGTATTGGCGAGAAGTTTGCTTTGGTTCCAGATTCCCAAAATGTCTCAGTCATTCAAGCACTTGAGTTTCTACTCTGTGTTGGGGTACTGGGGATGTGGAGGTTAATTAGATATTGTCTGTTCTTCTGTGTTCACAGGCTAGTAATTAAATATACCACAGGGGAGGTATGTTTGACACCCTCAGCTGTTGGGAGCACAGCGGCTGCCTCTGCTCAGGGAGACAGCACGGAATGATAAAGACACATGACAAGACAGTCTTCAAGTCCAATCCTTATTCACAATGGCTAAACGTCCTTGGGCAAGAGACTGAACTTCTATGGGCTTTAGTTTCTTCTTCTATAAAATAGAATCATACCTGGGGCGCCTGGGTGGCGCAGTCGGTTAAGCGTCCGACTTCAGCCAGGTCACAATCTCGCGGTCTGTGAGTTCGAGCCCCGCGTCAGGCTCTGGGCTGATGGCTCGGAGCCTGGAGCCTGTTTCCGATTCTGTGTCTCCCTCTCTCTCTGCCCCTCCCCTGTTCATGCTCTGTCTCTCTCTGTCCCAAAAATAAATAAAAAAACGTTGAAAAAAAATTAAAAAAAATAGAATCATACCTACTCAACAAAGATGAGATATGGGTTAAATGAAGTGGGCAATACAAATTCCCCAGCCTTGGGCCTTATAGGTAGAAGGTGCTCAAACACCATTTCTAGTTCCCTTCTCAGAACAGTCTTTCAGCATATGGCTTCCAGGAAGCAGCTTGCCCGATCTCAAACTCCTCAATTAGGCCCTAAACAAATGTTTTCAGCATGGAAACTGGTTTCCAGGAAAAGATGGGTAGGATTGGTGTGCGCATTGGGGGAAGCTCCTCAGGAGACTTCGAGAATGAGACTTTGTACTGCTTGCTGGATGTTGTCTAGTTTCCTCCCTGTTGAGCTGAATCCTACCTCAGTTCCCACCAAAAGGTGCCGTGGAGAGACATCTGAGAGGACACTGCTTCTGGAGCCTCTCAGATCTGAGTTTCCAGCCCTGGTCCCATGTGTCTCCAGATGTGGGACTTCAGGCAAGTTATTAGATAAAATCTCAAAGAACTTATAGCATAGTAGGTAACTATGATATGATAGCTCAGTACCTATCATTATTTTTTATCTACTTTTAAAGAAATTTCCGATAAGGGAAATGGAACAGGTCTGGTCTACTGCGGATATGAGATATTAAGTAATGGCAACAGTTAAGTAGAAACAGGCTGCCATTTCTACCACAGCTTCCTGCCCTGGGATTGCTGGAAGATCTGTAAACAATAGGGACTGTTTCCCCAGTGATCCTGGCCAGTCCGCTCAGGGACAGATGGACCAGACTGATCCCTCTGTTAACTGCTGGCTAATCAGTTTACTCCCAAACCTTGAACCAACATCCACTGTTCACTAACCCTTTTCTAACGGTAGTTTTCCCCTCTCCCCTCCTGCTGAATAATCTTGGTTTTGCCTTTATTCCTCAACCACAGTCTCTTGATGGTCTCCCTCAACTGGGTAAACTGTGTGCAGATGACTAAATGGCTCTGTGTTGTTTTTGCTATCATAAAAAGGCATGGAATGCGAAGGCTGCAAAAAGATCACCGCTTGTATTGTTATGATTCTCCCTGAGCTACCACCTGTCTATAACCAAATTGCATGAAAACATTCTAATATTATACCAAAGCTGAGCCAGGATGGTTAGGTGAAAGGATGGGTATAGGAATCAGGGAAGAACTTTCTTGCCCATTTTTTTCTGACCTCCTCTGCTCTCTTAACACACAGCATACGTACTAGTGTTCCTCACAGCCCCACCCCCTTTTATCTCTACTCTGTCATCACTCAAAGCACCTGCCATTTCGTTTTCATAGCTCAGCCAAAGGTGTGAATTCTGCAAAGGGGAGTGACAACAGTTTTGAGGGCTCTGCCATCTTCTTCACACATATATATGCATATATAAGAATGCAGACAACAGGGGTCCCAAATCACTGCTGTACAGTGAGCGAGAATAGAGCAGACCACCAGCTATTCAGGTAAGTTGCATTCAAGAATGAGTGGGTAGAAGCAGGGATTTGGCAAACAAACAGGGAATTTATTTAATCAATTGAAACTACAAGAGCAGATATCCAATCCTCCCCTTGACATAACTCTTAGCAGGTAAGAAATGAACAAACTTTTTTTTAATGTTTATTTTGAGAGAGAGAGAAAGCGCGTGTGAGCAGGGGAGGGGCAGAAAGAGTGAGAGAGTGAGAGAGTGAGAGGGTGAGAGAGAGAGAGAGAGAGAGAGAGAAAATGAGAGAGAGGGAATCCCAAGCAGGCTCCATGCTTCATACCACAAACTATGAAATCATCACTTGAGCTGAAATCAAAAGTTGGACACTTCACTGAGCCACCAGGCACCCCAGAAGTGAACAAACTTCTAAAATTGTGTTTTGAAAAAATTATTTAAATGATTTACTTTTCTGACTTTAGTTTACCCCACCCACTAAAAGGGAAGGTGCACCCAAATGCCTTGCAGCTTGCAGTTTCTATTTCATGGTCCAGAAACACAGAAACATAGAGTAGCTGGAGTCTTGGCATTCATCTGACCCACTGTCTTACTTTATACTAGAGTGATCTGGGCTCAGAGCGAGTTGACTCAGTTGCTTAATGCCACAGCCAAAAGAAGGCACTAGGTCTCCTGACTTCCCAACAAGAATGCTTGTTACTAACCCTGGGGAATCCTGCAAAGGAGCCTTTATCTTCTCTGGAGAAAAGCTGGCTTGACTAAGCACAACTTTGGTGAAGGTTAACAAACAGGCATTGCAACCACATGGCTAATCTAACTTAATAGAAAGCTTCCCCAACACCTTTTGATTTGTCTGTTTGGAGAACTGACCTGACCAGCAGCGACTGAGCCAAAGCTGACAGAAAACTTCAGGGGGACCACAGCCAGCCCTTTTTTCTTCCAATAAGTCTCTGAATTGAATTTTTCCATGCCTTCTTTCCTCAGAGAGAAGGAAGACACGGACATACATTCTTTCCAACACTGAATCAGGGCCTTGGCATTAATCTCTTGTTTGATCAATTTCCTGTACATGTTCATCATTCGGACCTATAAAAGAAAAGGAGATTAAAATAGGGCAACAGACAGTCTCTTCCATTCACTGTCATCCTAGTCAAGCTCTACTCATCCCATCAGGCTCAAACTGAGTTCCTCTTACTCCTTTTTGAAGCCCTTCCCCGCACATAATTTCTCCTCTATTTGGAGATTCTCTCAAATATGTTAGCACTTACATGCCTTCTATGCTGCTCTGGTGTGAGTTCAAAGGAAGGTATCCTTTCCTTATATAACTCAGTACAGTCCAAGTACACAGGAGACTCCTAATTCTAGTTGCACTTGTGAATATCTGTTGAAAGGTAATCCTGATTTTAACTTCCAGGACATGATCTACACAACTTGAATTATTCATATGCTGTCACAAGACCACTCATTTCCAAAAAGGAAAGTACGAAAGCTTGTTTATACATAACCAATAACTAAGATGAAGAACAAATTAAGATTCTATCTCAGGATGTCTGAGCCAAGAGTAGAATTCTTTCTACATTCTCAGAATCAGTGACTAATGCCCCTGGCAGAGAACAAAAAATGCCAAGTACATCATATTCTCAGTTGAGAAAACTCTCAGCTGTTCTTGCCAGTGACCTCCCAAGCTGACAGGTGCCATTACAGACATACACTCTCCCGACACCCCTAAAGAAGTTCCCATATCATTATAAGAGAAATGTTAGAAATTAGTAAGCTGTACCATTTTGGGGGAGGCAGTATTTTTAAGGGTGGCTGTTCTCTCCTCCAACTTCCCCAAGGATGGAGGGAGATCATTATCTAATGCCACCAGTGCAACAGAACATCTGGGAGGGAGGCTGTGATGAGATGGCCAGAAGGGAAGGGCAGGGACCCCCACAAGTTCAAGAAACATAAAGAAACTGGCTCCTGTCTATGGCCACAGATTCTACTATTGAATAGAAAGTCAGATGAACTTGGGGATGGGGCTTTCCAAGGTTTGTGGCAGCATGGGGCAAAGAGGCATCAGGAAATGCCACATGAGGTGCCAGCTGAGGGTCAGTTGTTGATTTAACGAACTCTCACAGGGAACTATTGATTTCTGAGAGAGCTAGCAGAAATGGAACCCTCAGAAACATACTTGAAAAGTGGCTACATCTAAGCAAAGAAAGGATGAGAGCTTGCTGGGAAGAGGCTGTCTCCTCTGGTCCTCCCTTCCCTCTCTGCCCCAACAGCACAGCAGAAGGCACAGAACAGGGAAGGGGTAAAAGAAAGCACACTGTATCTCCCCAGTCTAATTCCGCTCCAGGATTCTGAGTGGAAGAGGCAGAGGGAAGGGAACAGAAACTGGGACCCAGACTTTAAAAACGGAAAGGAAACCATTTTAGTAACTGAATGACTAAAACTTCATGACACATGCCGGGGATGTTAAAGGAAGTAGGAAAAAGAAGGGTTTGACAGGACTTGTTGGCAGCGGTAATGTCCTCAACCAAAGGAGACTGCTCACTGAATGAGCTGGAATCCAAAGCTCCCTCCTCAATATCCTCTGTCTCCAGGATTTTTAGGAAAGAGCCTGAGAAAGACAAGGATCACTGAACTTTGGAGTCCTGGCTCTGTCTTAAGTAGTTAGCTGTGTTACTTCCGGCAAATCACTTAGCCCCTCTGAATCTCAAACTCCTCAACCTGAATGACACCCAATTGTTCTCCTTGCTCTGGAGCTTGAGGTCTTGTGGAAGAGAGACTAGGTAGCATTACCTTCTCAGGAGCCAAACCACAGCTGGCTGCAGCTTCAGTGATCCAAGACTCACTGATCAGCTGCGCCTGAGGAAAGCCAAAGCCACGCAGAAGTGTGTTGGATGGAAGGCTGGTTATGCTTTAGAGCTAATGCATTTTTTTTTTTTTAGGTTTCAGACATTTGTCAAAGACACTGAAGCATTCATAGGCTTTAAATACTGGGTCTACAGAATGTAATGAATAAAATATCCTGGAAAACATGAAAAAAGTGTTTTGGTATTTGGCCTAGTGCATTGGTTCTCAACCAGAGGCAATTTTGTCCTCTCTCTTCCCTGGTAACCTCTAGAGATACTTTTGGTTGTTAACACCGGAGGGCAGCTGTGCCACTGACATCTAGTGGGTAGAGGCCAAGAATACTGCTTAAGATACCACAATGCACAGGACAGCCCCACAACAAAGAATTATCCCGTCCAGAATATCAATAGAGCTGTGGTTGAGGTCTAATGCTTGCATTTGGGAAAATAAATCTAAGTATGGGAAAGATGCATATAATACACAGACACAGATTTAGCAACTCTGGACTTATTCTGGGGGTGCCAGTAAGTAATATATGGCTATCCCTGGAATGTGGGTCTTTATTTATTTATTAAAATATTCCTTAACTATTAAACATTTTCTGAATTATATAATTTTATCTAAGACTTTCCAGAATGTAAACTTGCTTCTTAAAGCACTTACAAATAATAATCCATCCAGGGAGGCACCTCCATTGCTATAATACTCCATATCCAGGGCCAACATTCTGCCAACATTCATGAAGCCAGCCTAGGAAAAGAGAACTGACTTTTTAAAAAAATGCTTTAATGTTTTTATTTATTTTTGAGACAGAGACAGAACACGAGCAGGGGAGGGGCAGAGAGAGAGGGAGACACAGAATCTGAAGCAGGCTCCAGGCTCTGAGTTGTCAGCACAGAGCCCGACACAGGGCTCAAACTCATGGAGTGTGAGATCATGACCTAAGCTGAAGTCGGACACTCAACTGACTGAGCCACCCAGGCTCCCCATAAGAGAAAACTGACCTTTAATACTAGTGTTGGGGACCATGTTTCTCTATATTTTATTTTGTCACTTGTGAATCCTTACATAGATAAAAAATTTCACGACACTGGGTTTGGCAATGATTTCTTGGATATGACACCAAAAGCACAGGCAACAAAAGAAAAAAAAAATAAATCAGACTACATCAAAATTTAAAACTTCCATGTATCAAAGGACACAATCAATAGAGTGAAAAGGCAGACCAGAGAATGGGAGAAAAATTTTCAAATCATATATCTAATAAAGCATTAATATCCAGCATGTATATGAATTCCTACAACTCAACAACAATACAAAAACTTGATTAAAAAGTGGGTAAAGGATTTGAAGAAACATTTCTCCAAATATTCAAATATCCAATAAGCACATGAAATGATGCTCAACATCACTAGTCTTTAGGGAAATGCAAATCAAAATCATAAGATACCACCTCACATCCAGTAGAACGGCTACTATAAAAAAAACCAACAACAACCAACCAACCAGTAACAGAAAGTAGTAAGTGTAGGTGAGTATATGGTGAAATTGGAACCATTGTGCATTGCTGGTGGGAATGTGAAGGAGTGAAGCTGCTGTGGAAAACAGTATGGCAGTTCTCAAATAATTAAACATAGAAATATAATATGATGCAGCAATCCCATTTTTGGGTATTTAATCAAAAGCATAGAAAGCACAGTCTTTTATATTTTTTTATTTTTATTTTTAACGTTTATTCATTTTCGAGAGACAGAGACAGAGCGCAAGCAGGGGAAGGGCAAAGAGAGAGGGAAGCATCATAATCTGAAGCAGGCTCTGAGCTGTCAGCACAGAGCCCAACACAGGGCTCGAACCCACAGACCATGAGATCATGGTCTGAAGTCAGACCCTTAACTAACTGAGCCACCCAGGTGCCTTGAAAGCCCGGTCTTGAAGAGCTATTTGTACATCTATGTTCATAGCAACATTAGTCACACACAATAGCCAAGGTGTGGAAGCAATCCAAGTGTCCATCAATGGATGAATGGATAAATAAAATGTGACACATACAATAGAATATTATTCAGCCTTAAAAAGACAGGAAATTCTAATACATGCTATAATATGGATGAACTTTGAGGAGATTATGTTAAGTGAAACAAGCCAGTCACAAAAGGATAAATACTGTTTGATTCCATTTCTATCAGGTACCTAGTGTAGTCAAATTCCTAGCAAGTAGGATGGTGGTTTCTACGGGGCCACTGGGGGAGGAAGAAATGGGGACATCTTGCTTAGTGGGTGCCGAGTTTCAGTTTTACAAGATGAAAAGAATTCCAGAGATGGCTGGCAGTGATGGTTGCACAACAAAGTGAATATACTTAATGACACTGACCTGTACACTTAAACATGGCTAAGATAGCAAATTGTATGTTGTATATATTTTGCTACAACTAAAAATAATAATAAAGGAAAAAAAGAAGGGTAGAGAAAGATACAAAAGCAAAACAAAGACTCCTCCTATGCAATTCATGACTACTGTTCAACCAGTCCTTTTCTTTCCTCCTAATGCGAGTCAACTGCATACTTCTTAACCTCCTATTCTTGCCCCAACTCCTTGAATTCTGGCTCCACATTTCTACCTGAACCTTCTCCCCTGAAGCCACCTAACCTAATCTCCAAATCTGGTGACCTGCTCATAATGGATTCAGCACATGTTTCTCAGAGGGTCCAATTCGACAAAAACTCTCAGCAGCATTTAGTGCTGCTGGAGGTCTTTTACATAAAAATCTTTGCTATTAATATGTACCCAGGTGTGCCTGGGTGTCCGACTTTTGATTTCTGTTCAGGTCATGATCTCATGGTTTGTGAGTTTGAGCCCTTCATCAGGCTCCACTCCTTCAGCTTGGGATTGTCTCTCTCCCTGTCTCTGTGCCCCTCCCCTGTTCATGTGCTCTCTCTTTCTCTCTCTTAAAAATAAATAAACATTAAAAAAAACCTACATGTCCAATATCCCTGCTTTCTATCTGCATTCTGCTTCAATATCTCTGAACTTATTAGAGTTCACTTTGTGATTTCTGTTGAAAAGAACCAAATTCAAACCGAAGTAGTAGTCAAGGGCAAAGTCTATGAATTCCAGCAGTTTAATTTTGGGTCCCGGCTCTGCCACTTAACTAGCCCTGTGATGCTAGCTAGGCTAGCTATAGAATCTATCTGTGAAATGGCAATAAATAAGGTAATGCATGGAAAAATTATAGGTGAGTGACTGAAACACAGCAAATGTTCTAAATACAAATTATTAATATTACTATTATAGGCGTTATTGATATCATCTCCTGTCCTCACTCTATATTAGAAAACATTATTTTCTCATAATTATCATCACCACTATGCTTTTGGCCTCTATAACTATAACCAGCCCGTTTCATAAAGTTCCATATTGGTGCAGGACATTTGTACTTAAATGTTCTGTATTTATATGAACAAGCTCATCATTGTTCCTCCAGATTGGTTCCTCCTTCCAACCTCGCTTTTTCTGCTAGAAACTTCTGAGTCACGTTTGTGGTTTTATTCTCCCCTGTATTTTGCCAAGTTCGTCACCAACTCCTATTTTATTTTATACTACAGTGGCTCCTGGACTCACTTCTTCTACATCTTACTATCACAGCTCAGACCCCCAACTACTTCATGTCTGAACGCATCAGCTGCCTTCTGATGGTCAGTCTGCCTCCATCCTCTCTCCTCCCCAGGCCATCCTGCCCACTGCTATCCTATTACCCTCCCCAATGCACCTATGTTTGGTTATGACACGACTGATCAAAGATCTACGCCGTCTTACTCCTTCTTAGAAGATCAAGTTTCAACTTGAAACTCTAGGCTCCTCTCTGTCTGGCATCACTTAACCTAACCAATCTTATTTTCCACTACTTTTCAGTAATCATCGTGTGTTCTAATTCCCCCCTCTCCTCATGGCCACCCGTATCAATCATGCTATGTTTATCCTACCTCTGCATTTTTGCTTTTGCTATTCCCATCACCCATATGCCTTCTTTCTGCCCATCTATTCTTTTTAAATTATTTTTTAATAGATTTTTTTAAGTGTATTTATTTGAGACAGAGTGAGTGAGCATGGAAGGGGCAGAGAGAGGAGAGAGAGAAAATCCCAAGCAGGCTCCATGTTGTCAGCACAGAGCCCAGGGTAGGGCTCAAACTCACGAACCATAACATCATGATATGAGCCAAGGTGGATGCTTAACTGACTGAGCCACCCAGGCACCCCTTCTGCCCATCTATTCTTGAAGGCCATTTATGTTTCACCTTATCTAAGATGCCTCCTGTACATACTGTAACTCATGTTCATCTCTCCTCATAGTTTTACTATGTGTATCTTTTAACCTGAGATTAGTATGTTTTCATAATGACTTCATATGTGTAAGTTTTATTTCCCCCTCAACCTCCAAAATGTAATCTCTGTCAGAACAAAGTTCACTCTAATAAATCGTTGTTAAACGACACCAAATTCAAAATAGAGAGTGTGAGTTGAAATAAATACATCCATTGTCTCCTAAAAATATGTACGTAGGTACACCAGTTGTGGTGGAGATGATGCTGTGTTCAACAAATGCTATTGTCTTTTATCCTGGGCACACAGAATCTGACTACACTGCCCAGCCACCCTTGTAGTTAGGTGGCAAAGTTCTGGCTAATAACATGAATAGAAGCAAGGTCCACACTTACACACCAGGTGCCTAAAACACCTCCCACATAACAGTCCATGTTCTCCATCTCCCCTTGTGTTCTGCCCTCTTCAGAAGACACAGTGGAGGACTTAGAATCCTCTCTGAGTGCTATGAAATAGAACTTTCTGTGATGATAGCAATGTTCTATATCTACATGTTCAATACGGCAGTCACTGGCCACATGTAGTTATTGAGCACTTGAAATATAGCTAATGCCACTGTGGAACTGAATTTTTTGTTTTATTTAATTTAGTTAATTTAAATTTACACTTAAATAGCCATATGAGCCCTGTGACCTCCATATTGGACAATTCAGTCCAAGGGGATGATGGTGGTACTACATTTAAGTCCCTGAATGATTTTTCGGAGCAGAGTCCTCTCCTCTTCTCTTCCCTGTAACCCCTACTGATTATACTGGGCTGTTACTTGACGAAGAAATCACACAATACAGGATTAAGCCCCAGAAGTTTTTAGTTGTTTGTTATGGAAGTTAACCCACTCTGACAAGTTAAATTATTTCTTAGAAAGCAAAAGAATAATTATTTTCTGCTATAGAAATTTTTCTAAGAATTTCTGAGACAATTTTATAAAAATACCCTTGATATCCTGAAAAATGAGGAACCTGTTGGCAAATAATTGCAATTTCACAGAACCCTATTGGGAATTATCCTATTTTTAAAGTATGTGGAAGTAGTACAGATATCAGATCTACTTTAATAGATGTATATATACTTACGTATTTTCCAGTTACTCTTCTGTACCAGCCAATACCAGTTAGTGTTTTTTTACATACTGAAAAGTACATAGCTCAAAGCACATCTTTGAGCAAAGCAGATGTGAACCAGCTAGTAATCATTCAGCACAAGGAATGGGAAGTTAAATAGAAGCACGGTTTGTTGATTTGCTCACTGTTAGTCCCCATGAGAGAGCAGCCAAGTGCTACCCTTTGCAATTATGCCATATTATCTTTATAACATAAATATTTTCCATCCCCGCTTTTCTTCTACTCACTTTGTACTTTCCAAGGTAAGGGTGGTGGCCTCCAGTTATTAACATGTCTTCTCGCTCCACAATGAAACTGACAGCACGACCATGTCTAAAGCAGAAAAAAGGAAAGAGTGGTAAACTCTTTACCAAGCAGGTACCATCTGGGGATTATATAACTCTCTGTGAGAGCTGGAGTGACATCCACACACATTACAGAACAATAGAACTACTGAACCCAGGCTGTCCTGATCTCAGGCATACACTGTGGCCTCCCCTTGGGTCAGCGCACAATGCCTGGCGTTCATTACTTATATGGGGAGAGTCTTGGGTGCCAGAGGCTTTAGGGTTTTGCTTGGGAGTATTTCCCGTGGTTATCACAATGGAAATCTGCTATAGGCAAGCCGTCCCAAGCCACATTATAGGCTGGTAACAAATGGAGGAACTAGGGTGATGTCTGATTACCAAGTGCTCTCTGAAAGGACGGGTTGGGAATCAAGGTCCTTTTGCTTCATGGGATACAAGAACTGACTCATACTATTCAGCAAAGAAATTAAGCCTTCTACATGTGCCTGCTCCAAAGACTATTTCCTATGGTAATGTTTTGAGATCTTTAAAGGAAATGGTAATATAAATAAAGGTAAGCATAACAAAAGCAAAGTCTTCATTTAAATCAAGAAAATATATGTATAAGTACATATATTTATATATTTAATATATATCATATGTAATATACAAACTATTATAGAGAAACATATGTAAAAGATCATAAATATGTATATATATAGTGCATATTTAATACATATATAAAAGATTGAACTTTTTTCAAAAGGTTAAATTGATCTATATATATATACAGGTGCTAAGGACAAGTAACCACCATCCATTTAGGACTTGTTTTTGTCTATTCCTCAGGTATTTTTACTCTGGCTTTCATTCTTTTCAGTAACTGATTCTCATTTCAGTTCCTAGTATCTGGTATGACAATATAAGATTAAAAAGTTGTAATAAGCTGGCAGCTGTATGTATTTGTGTATTATTTGTGATTTTAAATAATCTTGACCCAAATTCTTCCTCCTTAACCCCAACATTGAGAATGTACAGCATGACTTCCTTTTATTTTTTGTCTATTTAGCAGATTTTTTCCACTTACTTGTTGGCAACAAATGTGGTGATGGCTGCCATGATGCCGGTTTTATTGGTCTTCCCCTCAAACATCCTACCACCACGCTTTGCATGACACACGACCTTGTTAGCTGGGAGCTTCAAGGTCACAGCAACTATGTCCCGTGAATGATAACAGTTCCTTTTAATCTGATCCACCTGCAGCAAGGGAGACGGGTAGCCTTAACATGTTTTGATTCCAAAATGTTGCACACATTACAGAAACTGTGTGGTTACACTAAATAACGGGATAATTTCCAATAACCTAAGCATACATCCACAACTGATCTCAGTAGTATTTAGCTATCATTAAGTAGTCCCTTCAATAGAAATGTGATATTTTTGTGTCAATAAATTTTTTTAATTTTATTTTTAATTTCTAAAAATTTACATCCAAATTAGTTAGCATATAGTGCAACAATGATTTCAGGAGACGATTCCTTAGTGCCCCTTACCCATTTAGCCCATCCCCCTTCCAACAACCCCTCCTGTAACCCTCAGTTTGTTCTCCATATTTACGAGTCTCTTCTGTTTTGTCCCCCTCCCTGTTTTTATATTATTTTTGTTTCCCTTCCCTTATGTTCATCCGTTTTGTCTCTTAAAGTCCTCATATGAGTGAAGTCATATGATTTTTGTCCTTCTCTGACTAATTTCACTTAGCATAATACCCTCCAGTTCCATCCACATAGTTGCAAATGGCAAAATTTAATTCTTTTTGATTGCCGAGTAATACTCCATTGTATATATATCCCACGTCTTCTTTATCCATTCATCCATCCATGGACATTTGGGCTCTTTCCATACTTTGGCTATTGTTGATAGTGCTGCTATAAACATGGAGGTGCATGTGTCCTTTCTAAACAGCACACCTCTATCCCGTGGATAAATGCCTAGTAGTGCAATTGCTGGGTCATAGGGTAGTTCTATTTTTAGTTTTTTGAGGAACCTTCATACTGTTTTCAAGAGCGGCTGCACCAGCTTGCATTCCTACCAGCAGTGCGAAAGGGTTCCCCTTTCTCCGCATCCTCGCCAACATCTGTTGTTGCCTGACTTGTTAATGTTGGCCATTCTGACTGGTGTGAGGTGGTATATTACCGTGGTTTTGATTTGTATTGCCCTGATGATGAGTGATGTTGAGCATTTTTTCATGTGTTGGTTGGCCATCTGGATGTCTTCTTTGGAGAAGGGTCTATTCATGTCGTTTGCCCATTTCTTCACTGGATTATTTGTTTTTGGGGTGTTGAGTTTGATCAGTTCTTTATAGATTTTGGATACTAACCCTTTATCTGACATGTCGTTTGCAAATATCTTCTCCCATTCTATCAGTTGCCTTTTAGTTTTGCTGGTTGTTTCTTTCTCTGGGCAGAAGCTTTTTATTTTGATGAGTTCATTTTTGCTTTTGTTTCCCTTGCCTCCAGAGACGTGTTGAGTAAGAAGTTGCTGCGGCCAAGATCAAAGAGGCTTTTGCCTGCTTTCTCCTCAAGGATTTTAATGGCTTCCTGTCTTACATTTAGGTCTTTCATCCATTTTGAGTTTATTTTTGTGTATGGTGTAAGAAAGTGGTCCAGGTTCATTCTTCTGCATGTCGTTGTCCAGTTCTCCCAGCACCACTTGCTGAAGAGGCTGTCTTTATTCCATTGGATATTCTTTCCTGCTTTGTCAAAGATTAGTTGGCCATACGTTTGTGGGTCCATTTCTGGGTTCTCTATTCTCTCCCATTGATCTGAGTGTCTCTTCTTGTGCCAGTACCATACTGTCTTGATGATTACAGCTTTGTAGTATAGCTTGAAGTCCGGGATTGTGATGCCTCCTGCTTTGGTTTTTTTTTCAAGATTGCTTTGGCTATTTGGGGTCTTTTCTTGTTCCATACAAATTTTAGGATTATTTGTTCTAGCTCTGTGAAAAATGCTGGTGTTATTTTGATAGGGATTGCATTGAATACATGGATTGCTTTGGGGAGTATCGACATTTTAACAATATTTGTTCTTTCTATCCAGGAGCATGGAATCTTTTTCCATTTTTTTTGTGTTGTCTTCAATTTCTTTCATAAGCTTTCTATAGTTTTCAGTGTATAGATTTTTCACCTCTTTGGTTAGATTTATTCCTAGGTATTTTATGGTTTTTGGTGCAACTGTAAATGGGATAGATTCCTTGATTTCTCTTTCTGTTGCTTCATTGTTGGTGAATAGGAATGCAACCAATTTCTGTGCATTGATTTTATAATCCTGCAACTTAGCTGAATTCATGAATCAATGCTAGCAGTTTTTGGTGGAATCTTTTGGGTTTTCCATATAGAGTATCATGTCATCATGCGAAGAGTGAAAGTTTGACCTCCTCCTGGCTGATTTGGATGCCTTTTATTTCTCTGTGTTGTCTGATTGCAGAGGCTAAGACTTCCAATACTATGTTGAATAACAGTGGCAAGAGTGGACATCCCTGTCTTGTTCCTGACCTTAGGGGGAAAGCTCTCAGTTTTTCCCCATGGAGGATGATATTAGCATTGGGTCATTCATATATGGCTTTTATAATCTCAAGGTATGCTCCTTCTATCCCTACTTTCTTCAGGGTTTTTATCAAGAAAGGATGCTGTATTTTGTAAAATGCTTTCTCTGCATCTATTGGGAGGATCATATGGTTCTTGTCCTTTCTTTTATTGATGTGATGAATCACGTTAATTGTTTTGTGGACATTGAACCAGCCCTGCATCACAGCTATAAATCCCATTTGGTCGTGGTGAATAATTTTTTTAATGTATTGTTGGAGCTGGTTGGCTAATATCTTGTTGAGGATTTTTGCATCCATGTTCATCAGGGAAATTGGTCTATAGTTCTTTTTAGTGGGGTCTCTGGTTTTAGAATCAAGTAATGCTGGCTTCATAGAAAGAGTTTGGAACTTTTCCTTCCATTTCTATTTTTTGGAACACCTTCAAGGGAATAGGTGTTCACTCTTCCTTAAATGTTTGGTAGAATTCCCCTGGAAAGCCATCTGGCCCTGGACTCCTGTTTTTTGGCAGATTTTTGATTACTAATTCGATTTCCTTACTGGTTATGGGTCTGTTCAAATTTTCTATTTCTTCCTGTTTCAGTTTTGGTAGTGTATATGTTTCTAGGAATTTGTCCATTTCTTCCATATTACCCATTTTATTGGCATAGAATTGCTCAATATTCTTATTGTTGTTTTTATTTCTGCTGTGTTGGTTGTGATCTCTCCTCTTTCATTCTTGATTTTATTTATTTGGGTCCTTTCCTTTCTCTTCTTGATCAAACTGGCTAGTGGTTTCTCAATTTTGTTAATTCTTTCAAAGAACAAGCTTCTGATCTGTTCTACTGTTTTTTTGGGGTTTTTTTGTTTGTTTGTTTCGATAGCATTAATTTCTGCTCTAATCTTTGTTATTTCCTGTCTTTGGGTTTTATTTTCTGTTCTTTTTCCAGCTCCTTAAGGCGTAAGGTTAGGTTGTGTATCTGAGATCTTTCTTCCTTCTTTAGGAAGGCCTGGATTGCTATATACTTTCCTCTTATGACTGCCTTTTCTGTGTCCCAGAGGTTTTGGGTTGTGGTGTTATCATTTTCATTGACTTCCATATACTTTTTAATTTCTTCTTTAACTTATTGGTTAGCCCATTCATTCTTTAGTAGGATGTTCTTCAGTCTCCAAGTATTTGTTACCTTTCTAAATTTTTTCTTGTGGTTGATTTTGAGTTTCACAGCGTTGTGGTCTGAAAATATGCATGGTATGATCTCGATCTTTTTGTACTTACTTAGGGCTGATTTGTGTCCCAGTATATGGTCTATTCTGGAGAAGGTTCCATGTGCACTGGAGAAGAATGTATATTCTGCTGCTTTAGGATAGAACGTTCTGAATATATCTGTTAAGTATATCTGGTCCAGTGTGTCATTCAAAGCCATTGTTTCCTTGTTGATTTTTTTATTAGATGATCTGTCCATTGCTGTGAGTGGGGTATTGAAGTCTCCTACTATTATGGTATTACTATCGATGAGTTTCTTTATGTTTGTGATTAATTGATTTATATATTTGGGTGTTTTCACATTTGGTGCATAAATGTTTACAATTGTTAGGTCTTCTTGGTGGATAGACCCCTTGATTATGATATAATGCCCTTCTGCATCTCTTGATACAGTCTTTATTTTAAAGTCTAGATTGTCTGATATAAGTATGGCTACTCCGGCTTTCTTTTGTTGATTGTGTCAATAAATTTTTGAAAATTTTCCCCATGAACCATACCCGAAGTATCCTTTACCTACTAAACGCATGGGATAGGTTTCCTGAAGCAGCAAGATTTCATGCCCTTGCAAACCTCTCTCAGCCTGGATCTTTTCCCCACATTCTGCTTTCTCCACTGGACACATTTCTCAACTCCCATTTGAATTACTGCTAAAGTTGGCCAGCGGGTCTTCCCTGGGTGCAGGTCTTGCTCTACCTTGCCATCCTAACGTTTGGAGGTCTTTTAATCGTAACAACTCATGTTTGTATATGAGGAGCCAAGAAGGATGAAGTGATGGGCCCAGTATCACACAGGGAGTGAGGAGCAGACGGGACTGGAGTGGGGCTCACTTGACCCTTCTTAATGTTCTAGCTCCTAAAAGGCCTCTTTCCCCACATTCCCACATGCCCACCTGCTCTGGTAATAACACTGGTGTGTATGACCTACTAAGTCAACCCTTTTGTTTTGTTCCCCTTGCTTTTACCCTGATACTGAAACCAGCCACTCCTAAATGCATCCTTTATTCCAGCTTGGGCAGTCTTTGTGCCATTCCTCCTTTCTTACATGCATGCTGCCTGGTATATAAGACACAGGCAATACATGTTTACAGAAGGAATGAGTGAGTGAGTGGCATTTTATTTTGGTGTAGAATTGCCTAGAATTGGCCTCTCTTTTCACCATCTAGACAAACCTCATTCTCACTGCAAATCCAAACTTAAGACTTCATCTTCATGGACTTTCTGGATGATTCTAGCTCTCAGCAAACACTCTATTCTTTCTACTCTTATTCCTTCTGTGTAAACTCTGACTTAGATGATTTAGTACTCAGTTGCATTCTGTCCAATACCATTTCCTAACTGCTTCATGTGAGTTAGGTACTTATAAGCTTTGGAGGGCAGGCCTTCCTCTTTTCTCTTTTGTATTCTTACCAATGCCAAGAGTATAGCAAAAGAGACCTACTGCCTCCATAACTGGTTCTGGAGTTACAGATCCATAAACAAAAAGCCCAGACTTTCATAATACTCTCTTAAAAGCTTTGAAATGATGCAGTTATTAATACCCAAATGGACAGGGCTGTTAGTACTCCAAATTCTTTCAGTTCCTTAAGACTTTTTTGGGGTCTCTAATTGCTCAGGTGTATTTAGCCAGCAGAAACCTTTAACCACATCCCTTCCACAACGGCCCCATTATTACCTGTATGTATTTGGGAAACCGTAGAAACACAGACATCAATTTCTTGATCCCCTCCTTTGGGAACAACAAGCAGGCTTTGGGATTCCATATAAAAGTGTCCTTAACATCCCATACGTATTTCACCTGTTATAGGAAAGTACACCCGAGTCAAGAAGGCTTTCAGCTAGAACAGGTAGCATTCCCCAGTTGTTATTCCATTATGGAGAAACAGCAGGCTACACAGTTAAGGGCCATAAACAACACTTAGCTTCATTATATCTGCAGATTTAAAGTACGGTTCTATAGGGGTATCTGTTAGGTCTGCCAATACGGCAGGTCACAGAGCCCTAGAAAAAGGTGTGTGACATTCTAGAGTCAGTCAAAATGTGATGGCAAGGAGATTTCTGGTCCAAGATGAGATGGACTAGATGTACTTCTCTTGGTTCTTCGTCCTAAGTACAGCTAACAGCCTTCTTTATTTATATATAAAAGAAATAGAGAAGAAGACTCTAAAATGTAGAGAGAAGAAGGCAGACCCTTAGGAACTCTGGAACCCAAGGAAAGACACATGGTGAGTTCAGTGAGTTCATGTTCTTTGTTGTTGTTATTTGCTTCATATATCACAGAGTTGGTGCCAGAGAAGCCAGCAATCCCAAAATTTCAATATGAAAAGACAGAAAGAAAAGCCTACTTTCTCCAGCCAAAGGACCAAGAGATGGGAAACCTAGCAAGAAAACTTTTATACAATAACCACTCTACTCCAGCAAAACACTACAGAGAAAAAAAAAAACAAAAACAAAAAAAAACGTGGCCCCATCCCTATCTGAAAAAGTTGAATGCAAAATCTAGATATCCACCCTTGTCAGGCTGTAATGGGATGCCCCAAACCCTGTGTTGTGGTGGTGTCGGTGGAAACCATATGAGGAATCAGGACTTCCACCCTTCACCCAGCAATAACAGGGCAACCCCCTTTTTCCTACCAACACAGGGTCAGAGGTGTTCTGTAAAATAGAAGATTCACATAAGATCCAGAGTCTTACAACATAATACTCAAGTGTCCAGAATACAACTGAAAATCATTTATTATACCAAGAACTCAACTTGAATGAGAAAAGACAATCAAGTGATGCCAACACTGAGATGACACAGATGTTGGAATAATCTGACAAGGATTTTAAAGCAGTCGTAATAAAAATGCTTCAGTGAGCATTTACATAAACACTTAAAACAAATGGGAAAATGGAAAATTTCAGCAAAGAAAGAGAAGATATAAAAAGGGCCAAATGGAAATTTTAGAGCTAAGAAATACAACAACCCAAATTTAAGAGGCTCAATGGAAAAGCTCAACAACAGAATAGAGACAACAGAGAAAATAATCAGTGACCAAGAATATAGAATAAAAGAAACTGCCTACCCTGAACATCAGAAAGAAAACAGACTGAAACGATAATGAGCAGAGCTTCAGGAACCTGTATAACTATAATAAAAGATTGAACATTTGGGTCACTGACGTCAAATATTTGAAGAAATAATGGTTGAAAATGTCCTAAACTTGGCAAAAGGCACAAACCTATAGATTCAAGAAGCTGAGTGAATATTTTAAAATATGATAAATCCAAAGAAATCCATGCCGAGATACATCAGAGTCAAACTTCTGAAAAGTAAAAACAAGAAAATATCTTGAAAGCAGACAGAGAAAAACAGTATCTCATCTATAGGAGAAAATACTTCAAAAGGCAGATTTCTCATTAGAGACCATGGAGGCCAGTGGAAATGGTACATCTTTCTTCAACTGCTAAAAGACCTATAAACTCAGAAATCTATACCTAGTGAAAATATTGTTCAAGAATGAAAAAGAAATCAAGACATTCTTAGATGAAGGAAAATTAATTTGTCTTAAACAGACATGTCCTAATAACAGCTAAGAACAGTTTTTGAAGCAGACAAAAATGATTTTAAAAAATTTGTTAATGTTTATTTATTTTTGAGAGAAAGAGACACACAGTGAGAGTGGGGGAGGGACAGAGAGAGAGGGAGACACAGAATCTGAAGCAGGCTCCAGGCTCTGAGCTGTCAGCACGGAGCCCAATGTAGGGCTCGATCTCACAAATGGTGAGGTAAGACCTGAGCTGAAGTTGGACACTTAACTGACTGAGCCACCCAGGTGCCCCAAGAAGTGATTTTTTTTTTTTTTTAAGGAATCTTGGAACATCAGGAAGGAGGGAGAACAATGGAAAGACAACAAATACAGGTAAACACAATTAGCTTTCTTCTCCTCTTGAATTTTATAAATTGCATTTGAAGCAAAATTATAACCTTGCTTTATGTGGTACTCAATGTATAAAGAGGAAATTTCTTAAGACTACTATAAATGAGAGTAAAATGATGTTATGAAATGTAAGATTTTTAGATGTAAACTGATAAAATGTTGCTGCCAGATATAATGTTTCATATATACATATATATACGTAAAATTTACACCTAGAACTACCACCAAGAAAACTAGACAAAAAGGTCAGATATATCAAATTGGAAGATGGGAGAAAAAATTAAACAGAGAAAAAACCAGAATATAATAATGACTAGCCAGAAGTCATTACTTCTGGCAGTAATGACAGACTGCAGAAGGCAGAACTTTAACAAATTAAAAATTTATCCAATAACAGTGATTTGCAAATTGTTTAAGGGAGATTCCCAAGGAAATCTTTTGTATTGGAGTCTGGATTTCCTATCTTACCCCAAATCTAAGTAAAGAAAAAATACATAAAAATGAGATAATGTTTTATTTATAAAACATTAAAGATTAAAATGTCAAAAACTCAAATCTCAATTTTATTTAAACTTTTATCAAAGACTGTACATTGAAAAATCCAGTCAGTGGGCTCAAATTCTTGCAATATTAGAGTTCTGACCTATCCACTCAGAATTTGTTTTGTTAAATACCAACTTCACTTAAAAAATAAAAAGCTAGGGGTGCCTGGGTGGCTCAGTTGGTTAAGCGTCTGACTTTGGCCCAGGTCATGATCTTGCAGTTTGAGAGTTCAAGCCCCTCATCGCTCTCTGCTGTCAGCATGGAGCCTGCTTCAGATCCTCTGTTTCTTTCTCTCTCTCTCCCTCCCGCTTGTGCACTCATGCTCATGCTCTCTGTCTCTCATGTGTGCACTCTCCATTTCGCTCTCTCAAAAATAAAATAAACATTAAAAAAATAAAAAGCTAAAAAGTATTGGACAGAGCTGTTTCTGCTACACCTGTAAAGCAGAAAAGTTTTAGAATACTGTTAACATTCATTGCCCACCCTGCAGCCCTCCTCCCATGGTGCCCTCCCTCTCTGCCTCCCTAGGTGTTTTTCTCAACTAATTTGATCAACTAATCCCCAACATAAAATGTTATCCCACTATGGGTTTAGGAGGGATTCCTCCAGGCATATTTCCATTTTAATAAGAGGCCCTTAAAGACTGAAAAGCCATTTGGATATGAAGGAGTCTATCTGTATTATGCCCAGTAGAACAGGATGTGGGGAAGATAATCTGGGTTTCAGAGCTCCTAGATCTCTTGCAAATCCTATTGTACAGATTGTCTTCTGTGCTCTCCAGTGGAAAGCCCATCCCAGCTAATGGAATTTCAGAGGGAAATAAGAAGTGGCATCCTGTAGAGAGGGATGTTAACTTCAGAGCTGGGAAATTAGATCAGTTTGATACCTGCTCAGTCACCTGCCTCCCAGCCTCCGCTGTCTCTTTATGAATGGGGGGTTTTTAATGCCCCTCAAGTGCTGTGACATCAGGGTTAGGAAGGGTTGACATATTTTTTAACAGTGGAAAAAAAACAATAATATCACTCCCTTCAAGAACAAAGACTTGATATAGTGTTCCACATATTTTATTTTTTAAATATTTGTTTGGGAGCAAAAAAAGTGCTGTTACAACTATTACCTCCAGTTACCACTCATTGAAATACGTGGCCAAAAATTCTTTAACTTTTTTTTAACCTTTATTCATTTTTAAGAGATGGAGAGAGACAGACCATGAGTGGGGGAGAGGCAGAGAGAGGGAGACACAGAATCTGAAGCAGGCTCCAGGCTCTGAACTGTCAGCACAAAGCCTGATGCGGAACTTGAACCCAAACCCACAGACCATGAGATCATGACCTGAGCTGAAGTCTGATGCTTACCCGACTGAGCCACCCAGGCGCCCCTAGTGGCCAAAAATTCTTAATCCAAATGACAACTGCATAGTAAGAAAAAAAATACCTCAAACTACTGAGTTAAGAAGACGAATACTTAAAAGTAGTATAAATACTCCTTTTAAAGCATCCTGTATCACTTTTATATTTATAAATAGGGTAAGGGGTAGGATACAAATTAAAATTCAAGTAAAAGACGGACTGAATACATTACTTAACTGAATAAAATAGCTAAAGAAGATGTCAAGGGAAAGAACAATAATTGAATTCACCCAAAAACACATATGGCAGGAATGGAGGCAAGAACATACAATAGCACAAAGGGAGGAACCCTCTTAAACACAGATATTTCCAAGATGCTCACACCATCATCACTTTATGCTAAAGATGCTTTCTCCTCTTCTCCCAAAAAGAAGACCTATCCTTCAAGTGTTTGCCACATTTTACTGACCCTAAGCATCACCTGGAGCACTATGAAAACTTGTCAAAAGACATTCCTGTGCTACCCTGAACCCTCCAACTCCAGAATTCTATAAAGGGGGCACAGAAATCTCCAGGCAGGTCCCACAAATATCTCATACTGGGAAACACCGGGGGTGCCTGCCAGTGTGTTAGTTCTGTAGCAGACAACACTGTCTGGAGAATGACAAAAACATCTAAACCTAGTAGTAATTACCCCTTACAGTTATGGATCTCATATTACGTGCCAAGCTCTATGCCAAGCATGCTTGTGTTATGTCTTAGAATCTTCACAATGGATCTTTGAGATCAGTATTATTTTATTTATATATAATTTTAAAGCAAGGAGATGGGCTTTGCCAAGTCACACAGCTAGTAAGGCTGGGTGATGGTGCAAGGGGACTTTTCTATACCTTCCAGGTGACATTATCCAGGCAGCCTGTGACCATATTCAGGTTTAATACAGCTATGGAATTAAGAAACATGATGGGCTTTGACCTCAAGTG